TCAGGTGGATTATTATTAGGAGAAGGATACAACATAAATATCAAAGGTGCTGTACACCAAACTAGGTCTAGAATTTCTCACTACCATGACAGCCATTTTCAAGCCAACTGGGTGGCCGGAAAAATAATAAATCTCATCCATGCAGAGCAGATGGCCTGGAATGTCTCATTACTCAGAGGTGAGTGCAGGATCCAGTTGACTAAATCTGCATGGCATCCCAGAAGTTTCTTCTAAGACTTCTTCTTAGTCTTTACTTATCAACATTTGCAGTTCTTCAGGACTGCATCACTGGACTGTCTTTTTCTTCCCCTACTATTTCTCCTTTTCATCTACCACTCTGAATTCAAAAGATTTTCTTTTTGCCAGCCTGGGGAATTCCTTTGTCCTGTCTACCTTCTGAGGCTACTTTCTCCCTTTCATCATATTCAGGGCCCTTTGTGCCCAGAGCCGCAGGGTGCTCAACAACCTGAATTAGGCTGGCAGTGTTGAAGTGGGTGTCCATACTGAGCTTGGCACAAAGTTACGCTGGTACTAGCAAAGTAATAAAGTATATTTCCAATTATTAAAGGTAGTTGATTACGCTAGACTCAAAATTTGAATTCTAACCAGGAAGAACATACAGAAGTGTTTCTTCTTAATTCCCCAGTGCATAAAGTGTTCAGATGTTCATTGTTCAGATGATCATAGATGTTCAAATTTTCAAAGTGCTCATATGATACAGCATTCAATGTCCAATACACATTTAGTTTAGATGTTCAAAATTAGACTCAGAAACCTATCGTGCATGCTCATCTGCAGATATTTTACTTCCTTAAAATATCCTCTCTTTCATTAACTTCAAGAAGTTGCATCTACAGCTGTACTTCTACAGAAAGTGTTGCCCAAGATGCTATTACTCTTTAACACCTGCTAAGGATTGTGTGAGGATAAACTGTTATCAATTCTAATGCAACAAACTTCTATTATTAAATTTCATTTCATTAAGGAAACATAAACAAAAGTTGTTTTTTTTCTCTGGGAATCAAATCAAGGTCAGAGATCCATTCACTGCATTGGGTAGCAAAAAGAAACACCATGCTACTTCAGAAATCCAATAGCCTAAAGGCTGTTTGGAAAGATTTCTTGGATTTCAAGAAATACCTTTACAAATAAATCACTGTGGTAGTGCTCTTGTTCATAAACATCTGAATCGATTTTTAAAAAAAAAGAATTCAACATCTCTGGGAAGTGATGCTTGGGAGGACAAAATGGAATGGGGATCTCTCAGTGGAGATCTTGTAGGCTCACATTTCAAAACCCTCTCTGTCCCCATTAGTTCCAGTTGCTAGAGGGTTTAAATGGACTTCCCATTAGGTGTTACATTTAACTCCCTCCCCCGCGCTTTTTACACCACTCTGTTCCTCAGAGGACAACTTGAACTAAACAAATATGACTTGAATACAAGATTGTGTCTTGATAAGCCACATAACAGATTTTTTGCATGCTATAGTGAGACAACAATAGTGAGTATCTCACAAATTAATACCATCCATAAGGTAAACACACAAAAATATCAATAGAACTTCATTTGGGGAATTAATGTGAGAACTTTTTGGAAATAAGAACAGCTATAGATGTGAGATAACGTATATTGGAATTACTTACTATATCTTTAAATTAAAGTATAAGTGGTTTTTTTTGTTTGGTGAAACACATTTTGAACATTTACAATGTTCTGCACCATTTAAATAAGGGCAAAAATTTGTACATTCTCTGTGCACTACAATCTTCATTACTAGAAGCATTTAACTAAGTGTTTAAGTGCCTACCTATTAAAGAAAGCTCTTCCTTAAGTGCAGGTTAATATAGGGATACTTAAGCATGTGGTTAGGTCCTTTTCTCTGTTGTAATTCAGCTTTTTAAATCTAAAACACCTGTTAATTTTGTGCAGAGACAATTAGCTCTTACTAATTGCAATACTTCTTGTAACCTAATGAGAAGATAAGGTTCAGTTTCTTTAACACATATGAACAGGCCGAAGTCACGTTGTTGAGGGCAGCCAGGTTGGCACGGTCTGCCAGGGAATAAGCTGTCCTGGTCTCAGCATTTCTCTGGGAGCCTTTCACCTGTAAATCCTGGGTGTAAGTGAGGCCAGCCTCTACAGCAGTCAGCAGTCGCCGCCTCTCTGGGCTGCAGCCCAGCAAGAAAAATGAGTTGGTGGTCTCAACCCAGGTGGTTGTGCATGGCAAAAATTCCCAGCACTAACTGATACCCTTGATGGCAGAAGTCATGTTAGAAAGAACCAGGACAAAAGTAAGCAGGAAAACACATAGGCCAGCACAGACCCATACTCTCCTCTTAACGGGAGGGGAGGTATAAAAGTTTCTGGAGCAAGTTATACAAACAAGTCAGCATGGTGGGAATCAGTGACAGTGTCCAGGCTGTATTTTTTAGATGCACGGTGCCCAAAGAAAACCTAAGATAATTTTCTATACAAAGTAAAATTTTGCACAAGGAGAGAAACAGAACACAGCACACCATACAGGCAGTCTGGAGGTAACAAACATTCCCTAACTGAGATAGAGATGCCAAAAAAAAAAAGACAAAACTAACCAAAACTAGTCCTGTGTTCCTGTGTGACAAAGAGGGAGCTAGTGACGTGATAACTTGCCCCTACATCACTTAGAAAATCTTCATCACATATTAAAGCAAAAGTTCACGACTACTAACTTTCACCCCCACTGACGTCTTGTGACTGAATCTGTAAGTACGGCCAAAGTCTCTCAGCCAATTTTTCTTAAATTCACCAGATGGCAAAGATATGGAAAGAAAAAGCAACAGCAATTTTCCTTTTCCCACCTTTGAGGGAGAAGGGAAACTGGTTTCTTTAATCAAATTTTGGTCAAAGAAATAAAATGTTTATGGCTGATTGTGTAGGGACAGTCAAAAAATGGAAAATACTAGCTATTAGATAACCCTCCAGCTCCTCTTCTAGCTGGAGCATGTGTTACCACATTGTCTCATGCACCACTAATTAATTACTTGCAGACCTTCCTCCTTTCCCTGAAAATGACAGATGCCGGTGGTCTGCCCAGATGCATCCCCCCTCTGTCACAGCCTCCTCCTGGCCGCCCCTGCGGGAGGCTGGCCGGCGTGGTGAGTTAAGCCTAAGATTCTCAGGATTCCCCACAACATAACAGCAATGCTTCAGAGAGTTTCTGCAGCTTGTTATGGAGGATGCCGTGCATGGTTACTAGAGGGTATATTTTCATTTAGTCTGAATGCTTGGCACCCTCAGACCGTCAACAGAAGCCTAGGTAGAAATAGATGGAATTATTTACTTACACTTCCAGTGATGAAAATGATTAGTCAATTAACTTTACTAATATACAGTATCTTGTGAGAAGATAAGATGTCAACAAGTGAAGCTAGCCTCCAGGTCATGTCAAAAAGAACAAGCCCTCTGGCATTTATGCTGATTTATGATGAACTATGACAAGTATGTTAATTATGAAAATTCCCGTTTATGTTTACATTTGTGCATTTTTCTTTGGCTATTTCTGATGATAGGCAGATTAGTGCAGCTACTTATAATTTGATCTCATTGACAAGAAAGCATTCAGCCCAGAGAGACATCGTGCAGCCCCAGCTTCCTGTACTACAACAGGCTGAGGGTACTGTGTTGGTAAATATCTTCAAGGGGAAAATGGCAGCTAAAATTAAACACAATGACATTACTGGGATCACTAGGGAAAAAAAAAAGCCCAGATGAAAAAGGTTTATAACATGAGACAGGTTCAATTGGTTATTCAGTTGATTTAAGTAGTCCAGCTGGACAATTATAGAGAACTACCAATTCCATTACATAACCATGAAGCAATGTCTTCATGAACTTCTATTTGTGCATCACTGTATCCATCCCAGATATCTAAATCTCTTTTCAGTTCACTTGTACAGCGTAGCTTCTGGATATAGCCCTGCATGTGTTATACACATCATATAATATAATTTCTTGGTGTCTCAAGCCATGTAGGTGCTTCAAGCTTTCTCCAGATGAATGGCCAGCTCAAGAACAGAACATGGTATGAACATAGGTAGCCTGGACCAAATGTTTCCATTCATTTTATGCAAATACAACTTCACGCTCTAACTGTGCACTTCCACCCTCTTGGGTGGTTTTACTCTCCCTTTGCTAATCTGCTGCTCTCATTCTATCAAAGGAAATGGAGACCTACAGATTAGGATCAAGAAACAGGGTTACCTCACACATATCTATCTGAGTGAAACTGCTTAAGGAATTAATTTTACAAACACTCTTTGGGTCAAAACTGCCCCAAAATCTCGGTTTGACTCCTCATGTAAGGAGTCCTGCCACAGGAAGTCTGTGAACTCTCCATGTCTTTGGTTTCAGTGGGCAGTCTTAGTGAAGAGTAAATCCAAGTATTATGCTCTCCAGAGAGTGCATGTTTTAAAGATTTCCTCTGAATATTCATCTTCTGTCTTTGGTAAGAGTCACTCAAAACCTGGTCTCTTTAGAATATCAAGAATCCTTTCAGAAACCAAAGTGATTCTCTCCAACTGATGGCCAACACATAGTCCAGAACATGAGGAGAAACATGCCTACACTTGTCCATATGACTGCAAAACCAAAAAATCCCTATATCTTTCTGCCCACTTCTGTGCATCCAGACATCTTGTTTGCTCTGACCACCAGAAGCTGTGGCCTAGCATCAGGAGCAAGCACATTACTTAGATCTGTTCCAGCCTGAACTACTCTCACACATCTGTGAAAAGGTTAGAAGGGGGTTTGAAGGACAGCCTACCCTAGCATAGCTTACCCTACAGTCAGCTCCAATTTAATTTCGTCCCTTGGAGGCTACCTACAAAAGTTCTCCAGTCAGTGGCATCCCCAGATATCATCTGTGAAAAAACTGCACATCTCAACGCTCCCAAAGCTTGAATTCACATCTAAACTGTAAGCAGATCCACAAGGGTAAAGATGATGTAAAAAAAACTCTCACCTGAGTGAATCCTGAGCATTAGTACAGTCACGATTTCTTCAGAGTACAGGAGTATTTCCACAGCAGCTTTCAGATGAATTAAAGGGAAGAAGCAAGGCAACACTATCAGTCTTTGCTTTTTCATAGAGCTGCCACACACTGCAACTAGTGACATCCTCTCTGCCAATAACTTCACATGATGTACAGCACTTCTGACGGGCCCCTGCGAGCTACTCAAAGATCTGAGACTCTGGGAGAAAACCTGGAAACTACAGGATATGAAGCTGTTTTCTTCACCATTTGTTTTCTGTGAATGTCTGTGCAAAAAATTGGAAAACTTTGGAAAAATTTGAAGGAAACCCTTTCCATGTGGAAAAGATAATTTCTCTTGGAAAAAACAATAAAAAAACCTCTAGTGTCTTTTTCTTAAAGGGTATAGCTGCTAAACATGAAGCAATCAGTGTTCTCTCTATAAAAAATTAAGCCTTTCATATGACGTTACTCCACTGGAAAACTTGCTATTTTGCATTATTAAAATTCCTCCATTCCTTAGGTCAAATGGCTTAATATGGTGCAGTGTAAACAATAAAAAAATATCTCCACATACATGTTCATGAAGTAAAGCTGAGTGTTAGCTATTAGATCAATTTTCATTATTTAAATCCAAAGAACATGTATACAAACACGAAGTTCTTAAGAAGAGGTGATGTAGACAGGTACATAAAAGAGATTACTTTTCTTGCAAAGCTTTAATCTTTTGTATTCTTTAACCAGCCAGGATTAAACACTAGTATTTCCACTATTTCCAGTAGAAACATAGACTTGGTCTTCTAAATAAACTGTATCATTCACATTCTTGAAGTTAAGAAAATTTTCTTTTGGTTACAAGTAGCCCACATCAACGTTTCAAACTTCAGTTATTAGAAAACAACTACAAGAAAACCTAAAAAACCTTGGGAAGAAATGTTACTTCCTGGGGCTTCAAAACATCCAGAAACTTTGCACCTCCAACTCTAACTAGAAGCCGGCAAAAATTACCCAGGGCATCAAAAAATACTTTAAGTATATTGAACAAATAAACTATTTTGAGCTCTTGGTTTAACTATGTCAAGGTTCAGTTGGTCACACAACATTAGAACATACTGGATACAAGAGGGAGATATGTCCTGTTTTATTAAGAAGAGGTTATCTCAGAAGTTCTTGCTTTATGGTGAACTTGCCACCGGCTGCCGCAAGAGAGGAGCCCCAAAGAGAAGATACAAGGACTCCTTGAAACAACATCTCAGCCTTGGCCATATTGATCAGCATAACTGGTCTACTCTGGCCTCCAATCAGGAGGCCTGGAGACACACCATCTATAACGCTGCTGATGCTTTTGAGGAAGCACGCAGGATCACCCTTGAGGAGAAAAGACAATGCAGAAAGAATCGTGCCTTGCAGAATATACCATCTAAGGAGTCTTTCTGCTGTGCCTTTTGCAATCGACCATGCCTATCTCGTATTGGCCTTTTTAGCCATCAACGCGCTTGCAACAAACGTGGGTAAAGCCCTTCCCAAATCTTCATTCGCGAAGCCTAGCCGTGCATCTCAGAAGTTCAAATGAAAGATGAATCCAGAATTTTTCCTACTCTGGAAGAAAAACTGCCATTATCAGAATACTGTAATTTAGATATTTCCCTCCTTTTCTTGATAGGAAGGAAGAAAACAAGAGTTAAGTCACTGATTCCGAGAAGTACTAGGCCTTATCTGCTGTTAGGAGTATCTACACAAATCACTTGGAGGCATGTCCCTGCAAGTTGCTGTGTTCCTGCCAAATTGCTAGAAACAGAAAGTGTGAAATAAAAAAAGTGAGCTCATCATATGAGCTTATTTATCCTATGGAGTCCTGAGAACAGTAGCATGGAATGGGAGTAAGGGCTGGGGAAGTACCCATCATTGGATACGGTCACAGTCTTATTAAACACCCAGTTCTCACCCTCCATGGGTAAGTCACACACAATAAGTCAAAGGGTCAAAATCTTCAAGAGTCGGTAGGGTATGTCTAATGATGAACATTGTAACTGAATCCATAGGGAGCATAAAGAAATGATTTTTTGCATAGTATCTCTAAACTGGAATTTGTGTAATCAAACTCTGTAAAACATGTCTACACCTGCCTGCTGCTAAGATCAGCACCAATATGAACAGAAAGCAAACTATATTAATCTCTGCATATACTATGGCTGAGACCAGGTTGCTGGTTATTCATTTTAGAAGGTGAAATATGTCATGCAATCTTATGCCTTGTAGATCTAGCTCAGCAAGATGTCTTATCTTCAAACATGGGCTTCAGCCCCAAGGAACAGTTTGCTGAATGAAAGCCTTGCATGATTAGTGCCAGAAATGAGAGAGTTTCAGAAGCATAAGATACTCCTATAAAACTGTAACTTCGCAGACAGCTACAGGCACCTCTCCTCTTACACAGGCAGCTGCTCCAGAAATACTCACTTGTTTACTGCCGGCAGCGCGCTCACAAGGAGCGCACGCCTCCGCTCCTGCACCGCATGTAACGAGGGGGTGCGTGCCTGCCGAATCCTCCTGTCAGCAGACCTTCTCACTTTTCACTTCTTCTTTGTTACTTTGCAAACTCTCAGCTATTTTTTCCCAAGCCGTAACACGGGGGCTCTTAGAGATTGTTGCCATTCTCCCCCTGCCTGTCAGACACCTTGTTTCCAAGTATGGTCACTATGAGGAGACTGTCGCTTGGAGCCTTTGTGGAAAATTAATGGCAGACAGGAAAGGGCAAAAAAGACAGGACAGATGGCTCTGTCACCACCAGCAGCCTGATGCCATGAGAGCTCTTCAGTGCCTTTGGAAATGCCACCCTGTTCCACAGACTTACTCTGAAGTTGATCCAATCGCAACCTTGGCAGCTGTCTTTCTTCTTTTTTATAAGATTTTTCCTTGTCCTTTGACTTCCTAGGCTCATCCACGTGGCAAATTCAAAAGGTCAGTTTTTAAATTAGTGACCGGGTGCTGATGATCTGAAATACTGTTTAACTATAAGGGTATTGGCATCTTGCTAGAAGGGGTGTTGAATAGTGTTGTTAATAGGGCTTGTTTACTAGTTGGTTAAAATCCAAATTGAGTCAGCTGAGACTCGAAGATGCAATGAGTAAACTTCTAATTCAAGTAGGCAAATGGAGTGATGTCACCTCACTTTATTCTTTAAATGGCATTCTGTCTAGTTTCACTTTCACAGTGAAATACACACCCGTAGTATATTGGGTGCATGTTGGAAGCACAAAGAGATGCCTCTTCCTTATGTGAGCGGTGCCAGACAAATTGTGGTTTGATTCATATACATTCAGAAGTAAAGATATGACTAGGATTTTATGTGTTTAAAACATGATTAACTTCAACAGGGTAAATAAATTGTGATGTGACCCCAGGCTATACAGTCAGAGTCTGCAGAGAGAAAGCTAATCCCTCTGAAGAAGCAGGGCTATGATCTCTAGTTATGTAGTTTCACCCCATACGATTGTAATTATAGGAAAAGTTGTACATTGCACACATCCCAAAACATCTTGCTGTTATGCAAGAACAATTCATATGCTTTCAAAGCCTGGGATGTTTGTAGATGTTTCCAGGTTTGGACAAAATTTTAAAAATGGAGAGTTAGTCTCATGACCAGAAGAGCTAGTGCTATGGTGTGATTTGGGGTGGAACCATTTGTCTAAATGTGAAAATGTGTCACTGTCCCAAATCTACAGAGAGTATTTAACTGGGGCCACTTGATATGAAGAAATATCTGAGATCTTGCATACTGTGGGAACATTAATGAGAATTCTGAGACAGAACTAAATAGACCATCATTCACAAGGGTTTTCTTGCCACTCCTGTATCTCTGAAGGTACAGGCTGTTTCCCTACAACCAGGTCTAGCCCCTACTTCACATCAACTTTTCCCATGATGGTTTTGTGTTGCACAACAACACTACTGAGTACTGGAAAGTTTTTGCTGGAAACCTAGCTACAGATTGCTTTCAGGAAGACAGCTGACACCCACCTTCTGCAGTGGAAAGAGCTTCCTCTATTGCCGTGAATCTGGGGTGCGGTTGCATCATACCACTATATCATGGTCAGTGATGTCATTCCTTATGGAGAAGCCTGCTATTCTACATGCTCAAACAAGTTAATTTTGTTTGCCTAATCAAACTTACCTTTAAGCCTGATTCAATGAAAAGTTAAAATGTTGAAGTTTTAATATAAAAGGAAGTTCCAATATGGGCAAAAAATTCTCATTCTGTAATGATGGGTTGCAACTATTCCTGAATAAAAAGTGTTAAAAGAATTTACATGACCTGCCTCAAAAACAGCCCTGAAATAACTGAGCTTACTACACTGTAGTACCAGAGCTGCTGGCACCAAGCTTTGTGTCAGTAATGCACATATCGAAGACCACTCTGTGATAATCTACAACAGGGGTGAACTCTGGATTTATGAAAACAGAAGCTGAATAAGGTATGCAGGATTTTAGGAATATTAAGGATGAGGCACTCTTCCTATCATATTGATTAGTTTTCTAGATTCACCTGAATCATTCTGTATTCCTCCTGTTTCTTGGAGCAAGAAGAAGATGTAGCTGAGTTACACTGTTTCCATCAGACCTGACTTCTGCTTTGAGTTCAGACAAATTAGAATGAGCATGAATTTTATCATTTGCATTTACAAAGCAAGATAATGTGCTGTGACAATGTCGTTTGTGGGGTTAAACAGGGAAAGGTGCAAGTCACTGTATGTCAACACGTCTTTTTAGCAAAAAGCTGGTCCTACTTCGTCTAGGCTTTGCTGATATGTCAGTGCTCAGTGACACATATACGCTCTTCAGCTGCAAAGCCTACTGTAGACATCACTATTGAATCTGTTGCAGCCTAAATGGGGTCCCTTAGTCATCCACTTCTAGGCTGGAAACATCTTGTGCATTTGTTCTGCATCCTGTCTAACCTTAATAAGAGCCTGAAAGCAAAAAAGGTTGCTGAGAAGGGCATAAAAACATTACTGCTCTCCAAACGTTACTCTCTCTTCACTCTTGGTAGTGGACATGCTGAGTATGGGAGGTGCAATGCTTCAGCCCTTCAAGAAGGAACTTTGAATTACCATATGTGTGTACTTTCCTGTCTTATATTGATGAAGCAGGCAGCTTCCACATTACCTAAATTCACTGAGGGTCATCTTTGTCTTTTCCAGGACAGAACAGAAATATCTGCCTTCCTCTCCTGATAAATTTGTCTCATGATCTCTGTTCCTCTCCCTTCTCATTTGTCTTGAAACTTTCCCTAACACATTATCCCTACTCACCCTCTTTAACTGGTCAACATTCTGTCCTTTGTCCAGTTAGATGACTTGGCTTTCTCAAACCTGGCCTAGATTTGGCATTTCTGCTTGTTGTCCTTGCAGAATAGAAATAATAAAGTGTTGTCAACAGAAGATAAGCACAGGACTTCTGCTTTTGCAGCTGAAAGCTTTTGTTCATGTTTCCACCTGCTAGATATCACTTAGATATATCAAAATGCATCAGATAATTTCCCACTATTACATTTCCTTGGCAACAAATGCTATAATTCCTACAGGAAAGTTATGTAATGATGAATGGGAGGGAAGAGCCCTCTGTAATCTCCATGGGAGGACAGATACTGTGCCATTCCTTAGCTTCTCTTTCCCATCTCAGAAGCATGGCCTCCTTGACCATGTTCAACTGTTATTCTGTGTTCCCTCTTTATATGGCAACAATTGTATGTCACCTCCATGAGATCTCACTGGGATAGTTGCAGAGGGAGTTTAGGAATATCAGGTTCTTAGGCAATGCACAAAGCCTAACATGAGGTTACTTTTTCCAGGCTGCACGCCTGAGTCAGGTGCTTGATGGAGGGTAACTAAATAACATCTGCCAACTTAGAGAGTACGTTTGAAAAACAAAGGTATTGTTAGAGTAAGTCCTGAGTTATTTGCACGAAATTGGAGAGCGGTTCCTCCTCTTGGCAGCAAGCCTTGGTGCCTACATAAGGCCTAATGAAAGAGCAGGGTAAACAAAAAAATACTTGTGATTTTAATAATTTCATTTACCAGATAGATGAGGAAAGAACATTTTTCCAGAAAAAGTCTCAAATTTGAAGACGAGACTATATCCCAGGGTTGAATTTTGATGGCAACTCCTCAGTGGTAATGTGTGGATAACAAGCTCAGGATCAAGACTGTCTGCTTCAGGAATAGACAAACTCATTGCAAATGGGGAGATGGAACTCCCCTATTTCACAGGTTCTGCTGGGAAGGAATTATGTGCTCTCTGGACTGCAAGCTAGGAAGGAGAGTGCTGCCTGGAGGTATAGACAGAGTGGACCAAGAAGAGCTCCAAAAACAGATGGGGGTAGACACATTACATCTCCCCATCCACCATGTCTCCTGTTTTCTCCTATTTCCTACTACACTCAATCTTTTGGAAGAGCAGCTCAAGTGCTGCCAGTGTTGTGGATCAGAGATTAAAAATTGGATAAGGTTGCTCCATCTTTACTGCTCCAAACTTTACAAGTAATACAATGAGCTACTGCTAGCTGCAAACTATTAGGAGAGAGAAAGAGATCACACCATCCCTTTTTTCTGCTAATAAAAAGTCTGTATTGAAAAGTAGAGACCAAGACTCTGCCCCTCATGGAATGCCGTCCAGTGGATCAGAAGTGATGTGGAGGCAAGGATAGTTATGTCACAGTGACAATGGACCCATCTCAATGCCTACGTGTCAGACAACTGCTTTGTACTCACTGTAGTCTGAAAAATGCTGAAAGACAAGGGTTGCTCAACATACCACCTCCCAAACACCTCATCAGATACACTGTGTTGCAACAAAGGGCTGGAAATAATAAGGCCATGCACAGTGACTCAGAAGTCATGTTCAGGACCAGCAATAGTAGAGAGGGGGGGAAAGAATGGGGCTGCTGCATGAGGCTGGCAGAGGAAATGTTAGAAGCCAGGGCTATATGAACATGGCATGCATATGGCCTTAGTAATAGAGGATGCTTGGAATAGACAGGATGCCTAGAAGGACACAGGCAAGGTGTTGCATAACAAGTTATTAAATGTCAAGTGAATGAAAGTGTCTTCTACATCAGGTCAGGTGAGTGCTAATTAATTTTGCCTATGTTAGCAAAATGAGTAAGAACTTACAGCTGAAAAGCAGTTACATGAGGCTGAAGAAGATGACTGTATTACCTGAACATTTAGAGTAAGAGACATGGTTTGCATGATGTTATGGTTACACTGCCTTTCTGAGGCACATTTAGTCCTTATGAGCAATAAACAAGGAAAACTGCCCAAAGTGCCCCTGATCATGCTGGGGAGACAGTGGGGGTTGAGGGGTGGAGGTAGGGATGTTGGAACTAGTTGATCTTTAAGACTGCTTCCAACCCAAGCCATTTCATTCTATTGTTCTAAAACTATGGAGACTACTATTGAAATTATAGAATAGTAAATTAATGCAGTAAGAATATTGACTTGAATGGCTTCTATAACAGAGTAAAATGAATCAAAAGGCAAAGCTTACGTAAAATGTAGCATGTAGGTGTAGT